GGGAGACATGTGGATCTTCTTCTTCGTTTTTTTGTGGGTTTTTTTTTTTTTGGGTGTGTGGTTGTGGATTCCCTTCAGCACAGCCTTCTTGGCCTTTAATGCCTTTGCTTTGGCTTCTGTTTGGGGAGGGTCAGGGGCTTCCTTCTTTATTTTTGGTGTTATATTCATAGAAAGGACAAAAGGGAGACTTTCAACGAGACAGATTGATACAGTGTTTGTAACAATGGGCTCAAGTTTAGCAGAGATGGTAAGGATGGCATAGGATAGGGCAGGGTTCAGATCTGTTGTTCCTAGAGTCACTATGAGTCATAGTCAACGCAATGTCACACAGCAAAAGCTTTTGCTCAAAACCCTTCCATGACTCCCTATTGCCCCTGCTTCAGGCACTCAGCCAGGCGTTCAAGGCTCCTGCTAACTTCTCCTGACTTATCTCCAGCTTCACGTGCAAATCACACCAAGACAAGCTCCATGTCTTTGAACATGCAATTCCCTCTGCCGGGAACACTCCTCATTCTTTATCTGGAAATCCCCACATCCTTAGCTGTTCTACGTGGGTGCCACTTCCTCTGGAGAAAAAGAATAGAGGCTAACGTCTCCTTCATATCCTTTCAGTTTCCTGGGCTCCCATCCAGTTTCACCTTGATCCTCGCCCTCCTAAAGCAGTTGGGGAGACTTCACAGTCCCTGGGGACAGGGACCATGATTAATTCACTTCTGGGCTACAGTTTAGGGTCAGGCCCAGACCAAAGTAGAACAAGGTGTTGGGAAATGACTGTATGTACTGAAATATTGTCTACTTTGCAGCTCTACCCCACTGCTCATTGGCTGGACGATCAGAAGAGGTGTGATTAGGGGCTCCCCCCCCCCCAACTTCTTGTGCCTGTTTCCTCACCTATGGAAATGTAGTTAATGAAAACATCCACTCTGGAATTGGGATGCCATGAGTTAAACGTGGGAACACTTGCTACAGCGCCTGGCACATGGCTCCCTAAAGGGAAGAAAGGACAGGTGTGTGGGCAGCCTGGGCCAGGTGGGCACACCCCTCGGGACAGCACTGCCTGCCTCACGCCCTCGGAGAGGCCCTGTCACTGACAGAATCCTTTCCCACCACTCTCTATTGGGTCCAAGGTGACCAGTGGAATTCGAGGCCACTCGACCCAGACAGGAAAAGGCAGCGTCACCAGCCCTGGCGTAATCCAAACCAGATGTGGCCTCAGTGGCTTCCAGGCCCATGGGGGTGGTCACTGTGGACCTGGCCAAGACCCAGAGGCAGGAAATGGTCTTGGAGGGAGCTTTCTGGCCTGAGAGCAGCGGGAGGAGCTGCGTCATGAAGGGTGTTAACTCTTCTTAGTCCACAAGGGGGGCCCAAGGCATTGTGTGGGGAAAGTCAGGGCCCTGGCCCCGTGGGGGCACAGAGCACCTTGCAGGGGGATACGGCAGCGTTGGTGTTGGGATGGGCACTTGGGAGTCTGGCACTGTGGTGGACAGGGAAACCAGGCTAGGGGCAGAAGTGCAGGGCCCAACACCCCCCGAACGCTCATGGCACCCTGGGAACTTGTAGAACCCAGACTCAGAGGCTTGGCCCCAGTCCTTGCTTGGACCCTGCTCCAGCTTGGCAGCCCCAAATCAGCCATGAATTCACTGCTGCCAACAGGATGGCTCCTGGGGTGAAAACTATCCCACCCTCCTGCAGTTTCCAGGAATGGGGGCTTTTGTGTGATTAGTGGAGCTGGGACCCAGCCCTACAGCCCTGCAGAGGCCCATCTGCATGCATGAGATCCTGCCCCCACTCCTTACCCTGTGTGGGCTCTCAGAAACAAATTCTTCCAGAACACTGATCCTCGAGTCATATGTTGAGATTCTAGTGCCCATTTCCAGGGGCTGGTGGGGCCCAAAGGATGTACCTGAAGAGTCATAAGAGCCTCCTAAGAGGTGCCCTGTGTGAGGAAGGGGCCCATACAATGATCAGTCACGGTTCTGGTGGGCAACTCAACAATCGGCTGTGTACCCTGGGCAAGTCACTTTCCCTCTCTGAAACCATTTCCCTACCTTAAAAAATGTGGCAGTTGGGCACCACTATCTCAGCCTGCTCTTGTGGCCTAGTGGCAAAAAGCTGCACTGCAATTCCAAAGGCACGTGGTTCGAATCCACCAGTTGCTCTGCAGAAGAAATGTGGGTAATCTCCTCCTGTGCAATTCACTGACTCTAAATACCCTCTGGAGGGTCAGCTGTGGATAGGTTGTGACTTGATGGCACCCAACAACATCTCAGCCTGTAAGAAACTCTGGAGGTCTAGTAAATTAAGTATTGGGTTGCTAACTGAGATGTCAATGGTTCAAGCCCACTATTGGCTCCTAGGGATAAAGATGGCAGCCTCCTCTCCTGAAGATTTACAGCCTTGGGAACCCAATGGGGTGTCACTGTAAGTTGGAATCAACTCAGCTGGCAGCGGTATCCCATCCCGTAACTGTTAACAGTGACCCCAGGAGGGGACCAAGAAAAGGAGAAGTGAGGCTGTCGTCCTCATATTATAGAGGAGGAAACTAAGGCTTTTGCTGGGAACTGGGAGTCCTGGGTTCTAGTCCCAACTGAGGCTGAATCTGCTGACAGGCCTTCCCGGTTTGGCCTCGGTTTCCCTGGCTGGATCCAGGCTCTGGCCGGACCTCCTCCCTGCCTCTTCCCCCACCTCGGTGACTCATCCCTCATCATCATGCTGTGTGGCCGAGTTCAGCCTGGGTGGGGGCCAGCGAGGCCAAGAGAACCACTCAGGAAACCACAGGCCTGGCCCAGCTGGCAGGTGGCAGAAGGGCGGGGGTTTGGGGATTCAGCCTGGAGGTCCTGCCCAAAAGCACACTTTCCACCTAGATCCCAGGCCAGGCTCCTCAGGAAGGAACCCTGATCCTGGCCTGCAAGGGCCAGACTCAGGCCTGACCATCTCCCCACCCTCGTCCCCTTGTGGCATCTCTGGTAGCAGGACACTGTACCACCTGCTGGAACAGGGCAGGCTAGGGCTGAGGACCTTCACTGCTGAAGGAGGCAGGGCACAGAGTGGTGAAGTTCAAGGTCTTGGTTTATGGGCAAGGGTAAACTTTCTCAGCAGGCAGCCAGTGTTTTGGTTAAGAGCAGGGGACCATCTGGGCACAAGGGCTGGCTCTGCCAGGGATGGCTGTGTGACCCTGAGTGAGTACCTGCCTCCTGAGGCTTGGCTTCCTTCCACACTCAAAAAATGGTGATAATAAGACACTTGAGTGCCAGGTCTGTGTGAGAATCAATGTCTCAGGCCCAGGACCTGTACACAGCAGGTACTCAACACTCATGCACAGAATCCACGTGCTGATGAGTTCTCCAGCCAGTTCTACAGTGGACCCACCCAAAAGGTCTACCAGACACATGCACCCCCATCAGCGTTAGACGCTCCTGCCCTGTGAAATGACCCCTCTAGCAGATGGCACTTCCCTGGCCTTGAAGACATGGGGTTTGAGAATAGTTCTCTCCGAAAGGCCTCCTGGGAGACCTGGTCATTACAGGACAACAAAGTCACCCCAGTCCTATCCATCCTCCCATCCTCCACTGGAGAACTCTGCTTTCTGCTTCTTGTTCTGGTGAAAAGCAGGGTGGGTCACACCAGAGATAGAAAAGAGTAGGTTCAAGCCTGGGCCCTGACTTGTTGCACTTTCCAATCCCTTGCCTTCTCTGAGCCTCAGGGTCCTCATCTGTCACGTGACAAAGGTGCACTTGTGTCACTGCTTGCATTGACTGAAAGTGTCCCCGTGCTAAGTACAGGATCAAACAGCGTGCCAAGATTCAGTATGTCCTGTTACAGCCTCTGCCTCAGTTTCCCACGTTGTAAAATAGGAATAATAATAGTATCTATCTTGCAACATGGTTGAGAAGATTAAAGGAGTTCATGGAGGTAAGAGTTGAACACACAGTAATCACCAGTAAGTGTTGATTATTGTGAGCTCCCTCTGACAGATGAGGAAACTGAGGCACAAAGCCGAGAAGCCACTTGCTGAGCTTACCCTGGGTCATGTGTCACTTGGGGGGGGGGTGGCCTGGAAACCAGCACCTTCAAGGAAGAACACACTAAACCCCAGCACTGTTTGGTACTCAATGTCTACTGTTGTCAATAACTGCACACAACAGACACGAGGCAGCCGCATCCAACCTGTACATTTATTTACAAGGCACAAGCGGAGAGCAGGTGGAGGGGTTGCCCGATGGCCTTGAACTTCTAGGCCTGCTGGGCCGTCATGCGAGGGCCTTCTGCCTGCTTGGGTGACCCCAGGGAGGGAGCCCCGAGTGTCTGGGCTGGGGCTGGTTTGGCCCTCGAGCCGACTCAGAGGTGGTCTCCTGTGTCCCCCAGGCCTCTTCCCTGCCCCTCCGCCAGGCCTGGGCTGGACGCCCTCTCTCACACACAGTTCTTGTGTGTTGGTGGTCGTGTGAGGAAGGTGGGCGGGAGCCGAATCCAGGCCAGATGGTGTGTGTTAGTCCTTATCTGTTGGGAGTGGGGAGGCGGGCGGGGGCATGGCTGTCCTCCATCACAAAGCCTGCTCTGTCTGCCTGGCAGCTGGACCTTAGCATTGCTGCCTTCCTGCCCCTGCCAGGAGCCTCCTTCCCATCCTGGACCACGGAAGCCCAGCACCCACCCTAGCTAGGAGCGAGCCCAGGCCAGGGACGGCCCCGAAGGGGCAAAGCAAGGGTCACCAGGCAGCAGTTCTAAGACAGAAGATGAGGCGGCACTGGGAGGAGCGTGACTGGGGCCTGTGGGGCCTCGGCTGCAGCTGATGATCCGGACCACACTCTGAGGCAGCTCACGTCGGGGAAGCGGTCACTGCACGGAGGGCATGGGGAGCCCCGAGCCTCCCAGCCTGGCACAGCCGTGTCCTGGCCACCCCACACCGGGGGTCTCGTCTGCCTGTTCGGGGCTTCTGAGCTGTGGTGGCTTCCACCCCGGCCACTGTGAGGCTGGCTGTGTCCCGGCTTCAGCTGCCCCCAGGCTCAAACCCCCAGAGCCATCAGTGCCCCTGAGCTGCTGATCTTCTTGAAGCGGTTGGCAGCGCTGACGGCAATAAAGTTTTTCTAGGGGATGAGGAGAGAGGTCCAGTTAGCACTGGGGCAAAGGAATAGCTGTGGGGAAATCTGGGGGTCTTTTTTAATAGCCATTTGGTGTCAAGGACCAACTGTGCCCCTGGAGCCTCTAATGACTGACTTTTCCAAAGCAGATTGCCAGGCCTTTCTTCCAAGATGCCTCTCGGTGGCCTGGAACCTCAGACCCTTTGGCCAGCAGCCAAGCATGTTAACCATTTGCACCACCCAGCGATTCTAGCTTGCTTTTTTTTTTTTTTAAAGTTCTGCAGAGGAACCAAAAGGTTCGAATCCACCAGCAGCTCTCAGCAGGAAAGATGGACAATCTCTTCTGTTAAGATGTAAAACTTGGAAACTCGATGGCGGATAACTATGAATTAGAAACTGCTGTGTGGTAATGAGGGATTTTTTTGGTCATTGCAGGAGAGGTGGAGACCAGGAAGAGTGCAGTGTCCAAAATGCCCACAGGAGGTGCCATGATGCTATGAAATCGAGCGCTCCCTTCAAGTCCTGGAAGCCAGCTCTAATCTGCATATTGCACCCATCAGAACCTTCCAATTGATTGAGAAATTATTGTACATTCATACAACGGAACACTACACAACATGAAGGAGCAATGATTTTGTAAATTATTACCTAACTTGGAAGGGACTGGAGAGCATTATGCTGAGTGAACTAACTCAGTCCCATAAGGACAGATAGTGTACAAAACAATTATTGTCGAATTAGTATCAAAGGGGGGGAGGGTGGAAGCAGAAGAATGAAGATGTGCAGGAAGTGGGGGGGAGATTAATCATGGGGTTATACAATTTGATGGATGAGGAGGTGAGGGAAATTGGAAGAAACAGTTTTGGAAAACAATGTATTCAAATTTGGTAAATAAACTCGTATACTAAAATAAAATGTTAAAAAAACCCCACAATTAGAAACCCTTCCAATTGCTCCTGTATCACCCCAAGTAAAAGATAAACCCCTCACTGTGGCCAACAAAGAGGTTAGGGAGAGTCTTTCTAGTACATGGTGCTACATTCTAGGATCTGTGCTCTTCTGTTCTCAAGGGTAGCTCCGTATCTCCTCCAGGCTCGGTCCCATCTGACCTCTTCTCTCCCTTTGCCCCAGCCATTTTAATCAGACTGACCCTTCTGTAAAACAAAAGGCACATTCCTCAAACTGGCTAACCATGCTTCTAGTGGTAAGGGGCTGAGCTGCCACCCCAATGTTCAGGTCAACCAGCTCCTGAGGAGAAAGCTGGGCCGTCTCCTCTCATGTCATTCCCAGCCTCTGAAACCCTGCAGGAGGGTCAGCTGCGAGTCAGTTCTCCATGCACACAGCAACAGCGTGCTCGGCCTCAGGGGTCTCGGCACAGGCAGTGCCCCCATGCCTTCTCCCACCGTGTCTTCATGCTCCGTTTTCTTGGATCCTGCCTGGTCGCTCATTTTCAAGTACAGTCTCTCTCCTGGGTCTCCTAATACTCCCTTAATTATTTCTGGAAGCCTTAATTCCTTTGAATGGCTCCCTACTGGTCCCCTGAAAGGGAGTCCACACAACTGGGACCCTCCATGCCTCTGTTCATGACTGAGCAGTAGACACTCAACACACTTTGTAAAATGCAGGAAGAACCTTTTTCTGAGCTAGAACGCAAATGGGCCACGCCCCTGTGGCATCTGGCCCAGTTCTTGGACAGGGTGACAGAAGTGCCGGAAGATCACTGCGTCAGGGCAGGAACCGGGCCAGGACACAGAGAGAAACTTGTCATTTTCCCAGACAGAGCCGGGCCCGGTCACCAGAACCTGACCAGGCAGAGACGGTGGGCCTGGGACCTCTTCTCACGCGGAAGCCCCTCTCCGCTCCTCCCTCCCCCAGGCCTGCTCTACCTTCCAGCGCCTCTTCATGAGGTATTTCTTCAGCAAGATCTGGGACTTGAGGCGTCGGTTACAGCGCTTTGCTTTCTCTGCCAGGTTGTTGAGCCAGGGGTGGGCGAGGCACTGGGCAGCGCTCATCCGGGCCCTGTGGGGAGCGGGCAGTGTGGTGATGGTGGGAGTGGCTAACGGGGGACCCATTCCATTCTCGCTCTGTCAGCATGGGCTGCATGTCTGAGCAGACGTGTGCACAGACCATTCACACACACACACACACACACACACACTCTGGGACATGAAGTTTGCCTCCTGGGGTCAGCCTTACCCCTGGTCCTTGACAATGAGCTTGGACACAAAGTCTTTGGCCTCATCTGACACAGCCTCGAAGGTCTCCTCATCAAAGTACCAGTTGGCAGACAGAACATTGTTTAGAGTCTCCGTGTCATCATCTCCCAGAAACGGGGAGAGGCCACTCAGCCTGGAGGGGGCGGGAGAGGGTGGGGAGCAGGGAGGTGAGATTGGCGCTCCTTTGTCACCTTTGGGGACAGATCCTAGGAAGTAGCACCATGCGCTGAAAAGACCCCCAGCCTCTTGAGTGGGACAGACCTGGGTTTGAATCGGGCTGCGTGACTTTGGCCAAGTCACTTCCCTTCTCTGAGCCTCACTCTTCTCATCTGTAAAATGGGCATAATCATCCCAGCTTCCCAAGGTTACAGTGAAGATGAGGAATGACGAGTGCAAAGCACGTGGTGAGTCCCCAAAAGATGCTTGCTGTCCCTCCACTCTGCCCTGGGGCCCTCAGAGATCTGCTGTCCAGAGCCTTGGGCTGAGGCACCTATGTTTCTGAAGACCTTCAAACACCTTGGTTTATCCATTTGTAAAATGGGCACAAGGTTCCCCTTCTTTGGTTCTGCTCTGCGCTCCCCTCGCAAAAAACAAGACTAAGGAACCATGACTGGGACCCTCTCCCCAGGACCCCAGGACCAATCTTGAACCTTGGCTGTTTGCCCACGTGCTCCCCCACCCCATAAACATCACCCTCCCTTGGGGCTCACAGCATGTAGGTGATGACCCCCATACTCCACATGTCTGTCTTATCGGAGATTTGGTCGTAATTCACCACCTCAGGGGACAGGAACTCTGGGGTCCCAAAATTCACCTTCAGCTTCTCGTTAGGGTTATACCTGAGGGGGAAGACCAAGAGCTCAGCACTGATTTGTCTAGAGGGCCCTCCACCCCACTGCCACCTGCACCCCTCTGACCTCAGACACCCAGCCTCTCCTCCCCACCCACCCAGGCGGTACCTCCGCGCCAGACCGAAGTCGATGATCTTCACCAGGTGGCCTGTGGTGTTGACACACAGTATGTTCTCTGGCTGAGGAAAAAAGGACACCCAGATCGCCTCTGTCCCAACTTGACCGCCACCCCCCAGGTCCACCAAGGTCCTGCCAGAACGGACAGACCCTCAGAGCCCATCTGGATAAACTCAGGCCCAGAGGAGGGTCCTGAGACTCCCCAGAGGTGAGGGCTGCACCTCCTCACGGCCCACATCTGGACTGGCCCACGTGGGACGTGGCCTTCACACTTTGATGGCCCAGTCGATAAGAAGTTGTGCTGATATCCAAAAGCAGGCAGTTTGAGTCCCACAGTTACTCCACAGGAGAAAGACGGACAATCTCCTCCTGTGCAATTCACAGCTTCTGCAAACCCACTGGAGGGCCAGCTATGGTTCAGTTCTGACTTGGCTGAGAAAGAGCAGAGCTTCCCCAGAATCCTGAAGGCAGTGCACTCCCCAGGGTCAGACCGCCGCTCAGGGCTCCCAGTGGGCACAGAGGATGTGCTCTGTCATTGTACCTTCTAAAACAAGCTCTTGGCCCTCCGTTTGGGGAGGGAGCGCTGATGGCAAAAGACAGAACAGCTGACTCTGGGCTACTCAGCCACTTATCCTCAGACTCTCAGAAAAGCTCACTGCCGTGAGTCGGAACCGACACGTAGCTGGCTCTCCGGTGGGTTTTCAGAGGCTGTAAGTGACATGGGAGGAGATGGCCCATCTTTCTGTCACAGAGCTGTTTGTGGATTGCAACCATCCGAGTTTGGGTTCACAACACAACTTCCCAGACGACATCTCCAGAGCGCCCTTTCCTCCCAGCACCCCACATTGTTATAGCAGATAATGCTACCATCCATCCCCATTTTACAGTTAAGGAAACTGAGGCTCAGACACAGGAGGGATACCACTTATTTTGATCCATACTGGATCTCCACCACCTAGAACCCTGCCTGGCAGACAATAAAAATCAATTACCTGAAAGCAAATTCCAACTAGTGGGCTTCCACCTAAGGCAGTGGATTGTGTTTGGATGGATTTTCAAAGACTGTTTCTTTAGAAATTTAAAAAAAAACAAAACCCAACCCAAAACCAAAAAACAGGGAGCTCTGATAGCCTAGTGGCAAGAAGCTGCACTGCAATCTCAGAGGCGCGTGGTTTGAATCCAGCAGATGCTCTGCTGGAAAAGGAGGGGCAATATCCTCCTGTACCAGTCAGATCCGATTTGACAGTACACACATGCGCGTGCGCGTACCCCCCCCCCCACACGAATAAAAAACTTCAACTTTCCTCTGAGGTGCCTCGGGGTGGACTTGAAGCTCCAAACTTCCAGTTTGCTCCACTTAGAGACACCCAGGGCAGATTCACTGACTCACTCTCATTGCTGTCTAGTCAGAACCCACACCCACTCACAGCGGGTTTACAGAGACTGTAAATCACGGGGGAAGGAGATTGCCCATCTCTCCCTCACAGAGCAGCTAGTGGATTTGAACCGTATGCCTTCAAGTTGGCAGAACAATTCCTTACCACTAAGCCACCAGAGTTCCCTATGGCGAATAGCAGGCACCAACAAGTATTTGTTGAATCAATGAACACACATTAGTGCCAACACTGAGGTCAGTCCTTTTGTAAGGCTGATTAATCACTCCTGTGGCTGAGACACTGAGCGTGGGGCCCCCGGGACTGAAAGATCCTCTCCATAAACATGGGATATTAGTTAGAAACTCCAGGAGAGCTGGGCAGTGTCGTCTTTCACTCTCTGTCCTATCCCTGGCTCTGGCTCTTGGTAAATGCTCACCTTTGACTCTACAGGTGGAAGGGTGTCTAGAGGAAGACAAGGCGAGTCGGGAGGATGGAGGGAGGAAGGGGGGGTGTACAGCACTGATGTCTGAAAGAAGGATGTTAATTGCTCCCTCCAGGGAAGGGCCCCCCCCCCAGTTACCTTGAGGTCCAGGTGCAGAACCTGCATCTTGTGCATGAAGAGGATCCCGTCACAGATCTGCCTGACAAACACCATGGTGTCCACCTCGGTCAGTTGATAATCCTCATCCACAATCCTCTCGAAGAGCTCGCCGCCCTCAATGCTGTGTGCACAGATCCCTCTGCAGGCTCGCCAACTGGCCTGGGGCCCCCCACCCGGGCCGCCCCCCGCCGCCACACTCACTACTCCATGAACAGGATGATCTCGTTCGATGTCTCCATGGCCGCGTAGAGCTGGATCAGATTGCGGTGGTTCAGCTGGTTCATCACCTCAATCTCAATCATCACCATCTCCTGGGGACCAGAAGCCAGCGCTGCCATCCAAGCCTCGCCACCCCAGCCCTTCCCCGTCTTTCCTGTGCCTTCGCCTGACACTCTGAGCCTTGCCGGGGCCATTGTCATCCTCCTCCTTACTGACGCCTTGGCTGCCATCTCTCCTACCCCCACAGCTGTCGTTCTGAGGACCAGAGATACTGTCCTGCCTCCACTTCCGTCCTTCTCGGGGGTGGGGGTGGGGGGCCCCAAGCTCCACCTCATTGCATTGCTCTCTATACTCGCTCCTTGGATGTTTCTATCCTGTTGTTGCTGTTATGTGCCATTGAGTTGGAACTCATAGCTGGCCCCGTAACAGGTCTTCAGGGAGAATACAACACCAGGAAGGATGTCGTCTTTCTCCTGTGAAGTGGCTGGCAGATTCAAACCTCATACCTTCAGGTTGGCAGCACAACTCCTTACCACTAGGCTACCACACACACACACACACACACACACACACACTAGAGAATGGCTCTGCTAACCCAAAGTCTGTGCATTTCTGCTGGTTCAAATCCACCAGCCACCTTTTCAAAGGGGAAAAAATAGAGCAATCTCCTCCCATGTAGTTTACAGCCTCTGAAAATCCAACCCCCCTGGAAGGTCACCTAGGAGTGGATTCCAACGCGACAGCAATTTTATATATATAGATATAAAATATCATATACATATTGTATTAAAATATATATTATAAAAGTACATTATGTTGTTATGTGCTGTCGAGTTGCTTGCCACTCATAGCAACTCTATGTATAAATAACCCTGAAACCTGTGCTATCCTGTGCCAGTTTTCCTGTTTCTGACACAACTACCCTCATTAATCCAGTCACTGAATCAATCCATCTCATTGAGGGTCTTTCTCTCTTTGCTGTCCCTCCATGCATCCAGGAATGATGTCCCTCTCCAAGGAACCCTCCAAGGTCCCTCCTTGCAACATGCCCTACGTTTGTCAGACGAAGCCTCAAAATCCTTGCCTCCAGGAGCAGCCTGACTCCGCCCTCTCTAGGACAAGCCTGGTTGTTCTCCAGGCAGCCCATTCAACACTCCTCTCCATGAGATAAATATATCTGTATTTCAAACTCTGAGCTTTCCTTTGAGCTCCAGACTCCAATATTCCCAACTACCTACTTAACACTCTGTCTAATAAGCACCTCAGATCTGTTGTTGTTAAGTGCCATCAAGTCACCTGTGGCTCATAGAGACTCTATGTACAACAGCCCTAAACCCTGCTCTATCCTGTCTCTGACACACCTACCCCCATTATCCCAGTTACTGAATTGATCCATCTCATCCAAGGTCTTCCTCTCCTGTGCTGTCTCTCCACCCTCCCAAACATGACGTCCTTCTCCAAGGACCAGTCCCTCCTTGCAACATGTCCAAAGTATGTCAGACAAAGCCTCAGAATCCTTGCCTCCAAGGAGCAGCCTGGTTTAACCCTCTCCAGGCTGAACCTGTTCATTTTCTTAGCAGTCCATGGTATGGTCAATACTCTTCTCCAACACCACAACTCAAAGGTATCAATTCTCCTTCTATCCTCCCTAGTTATTGTCCAACTCTCAGGCACACCTTAATCTCCAGAGTGACGCCATTGCTCTTCAGTACTTTGGAGAGGTCCCTAACAGTACACTTTCCCATCACAATACATCTTTTCATTTCCTGGCTGCTGATGCCAGGAGTGTTGACTGTGGAGCCAAGCAAACTAAGGCTGTTAACAATCTCAACCTCCTCACCATCTACCCTGATGAGTGGTGAGATCTAGAACATCCAAAATTAAACCCTTTTCCCACAACACCCTGCACTTTCTCTTGGGGGCTGAGGGAGTGGTGAATCCAATCAACACTCCTTCTTCAGGAGAGGAGGTTCACCTCTACCCACAAGAACCTCGGAAGGAAGGCCTGGCCATTTACTGACCCCAAATCAGCCACTGAGCACCCTATGGAGCATATCTCACACTTGGATCCCTAGGAGTCAGCATCGATTCAAAGGAACTGTTCTCGTGTCTTCTTCCCCTAGCTGTGCAGGGTGTAAATGCAGTAGTTGTCTTTCTCACTTTCTTGTATCCAAATGCAGTAAATCTTTTGACTGCACCTTCAAATTGTATTACAAACTCAATGATTAACCACTTCCGCTACTACTGTCTTCCTCATCCAAGCTACTGTGATCTGTCACTTTCATAAAGTTTACAAGCTAGTCATCACATTGACACCTTGACTTCGGCTATAGTAGGAATATTTGCGAATGGAATTGGCAAACGCCACAGATTATGACTCTCTCCTCCACCCGTTCCCACAGCCAATTGTTAAAGCGTCCAGTGCTTCACTCCCTGAGTCACTCCCCTTCTGCCTGTGTTCTCTTACTTCCTTCAGGGCTCACCTCACCTACCACTTTCTCAGATAGGCCTGCTCGCACTCCTTATATCTTACTGGGCTATTTAAAAAAAAAACCCACAAAAACTTTTTAGCATCTCTCATATTGTTTTTTCTTATCTGCCCCACTTTTCTAGCATATAATGTTCTCCAGCATCTTGTACAGGGTGTGACTCATAAAAAGGGGCTTAAAGATTAATCAAGAAAAGGCTCAGCTTATCTGAAAAGCACTGAATAAGGGCACGGGACATCTTCAGTGGATCAAGGCCCCTACACCAGGCCCTGCTTAGACATGTGGGTGAAGGGAGGTTCGAGGGGCCTGCGCCAAGGACCTCTGCCCTCCCAGGGTTCTGGTTCCCATCCCTGCTACCTTGTCTTTGGGGGTCTGTTTCTTGATGACCTTGGCAGCGAGCTTGAGGCCAGTAGACTTCTCTGTGCAGGTGCAGACGGCTCCGAACTTGCCCCTGGATGGGAATAGGCTTGGTGAGGGGGATGGCAGGGCCCAGGCAGGGGAGGGGGGAGGAGGAAGGAGCAGGCTCTGCTCCCAAGTCAGCCTAGACCTCAGGGCGGTCTCTGGGGCCTCCTCTGAGAGGACCCCCCTGCCAGGAGGATCCTCCAGCCAGCCAGCCCTGCTTCCTTTCTGATGCTAGGAGGTGTGTTTCAGGGAAGGGGTAGAGGACCTATCGGGATCCTCCCAAGCCATGTGTCTGGGAAAGGGATGCAGTCCAAGCTTCCCTACCCTAGTCAGGCCGGGCAATGGTGGGCATCCTGGGGGCAGGCACCCTGGGGCAGAAGGGACACTGTCAAAGGGTCTTTTGTACAGTAAGAGTCACGATGGGGGTGAGGGTATGTGTGTCAACGCTTCATATGTGAGACACTGATCTGTCTGAAGGTGCATCTATGTGAGTGACAGTGACATTGAGTGTATCACAACACGTGAGACAACAGCACACTTGCACACAACAGCTATGGGCCCTGTAGAAATCAGTGTGTCCCCATGTGACGTGTACATGTAGGGGTGCCTGGACCTGCCTCTGAGAAGTTGAGGGGGATGCCCTGAGCGTGGGGTTCCGTGCTCACCCTCCCAGCGCCTCCTTGGAGTTGATGCTGAATTCGCTGCTGACATTGCCAGTCCTCAGCTCCACGATGCGGTGTGGGAAGGGGGCAGGGGGCGGCGGGCAATCGTCTGGGTAGGTGAACAAAGGCATCTCAGTCAGGGGTACTCCCTCCTACACAACTGGGTCCCCCGAGTAAGTGACACCTGACAGGCTGCAGACAGGACTGGGGCCTAGCTTCCAGTTTCAGCTTGAGGAGTTTCCACACTGTCCCTCACAGCAGGGACTCAGCACCCCCCTTTAGAACAATGGGGGTGATGATTGATGGCCTTCTTGGACCCTCCCACAGGGAACAGGTATGTGAACTCCACTGAAAGCTGTTTACGTTTCCATTTTTTTTTTTAAAAATGCAGTAAAAATGATGAAATGTTCAAATACATTGTTTTTCACACAAGATCCTTCCCATTTCCTTCACCACCCCCACTGAATTGTGCAACCCTATGATTCGAACTTTGTAAATAAATCAGTGTTCTTGTTAAGTGCTACTGAGTTATATACAACTCATAGAGACTCTATGAACGAAAGACCTGAACACTTGTGTAACTCTCATCATTTCTCCAAGTTCATAAAGTTTCTGGAGATAAGCTATTTCTGAAGTGGATGCCATTCCTGCTTCCAACCTTGTTTTAATTGGGAAGCTCCACCAAACACTGTCCACCATGGGTAACCATTATCACATTTGGCACATCAGTGTCACAGTGTTTAGCATCACAGCAACCACGAGTCACCTCTGTACAGCAAAGGAACAGGCCAGTCCTATACCACTTAGAAGAACGTTTGACCAAAAATATAAAATTTTAAATTATGAGATCTCAGACATTGGGTTGCTATGTATCAATGATGGCAAACTGGGGTAACCTGCTCGGTTTCCCCTCTGAGGTCAACACAAGGCTGGCCAGACCTGGAGGAAGATGTCCACCCAGCTGTGGTCTTTAAGCCTGAGAGGTTCAGTAGGGAGAGACTGCCACCTGGTGACAGTCATGGGGAACAACGGCTCCTGGCTGCCTGCGGGCTGAGTCATCGGGAATGGAAACCTCTCTATAAATAGCACAGGCGGCAGGGAAGCCGTGCTGGTGATAAATCAGACGGTCCTTGGAGGCTGTTCAGGTCCCATCACCCCGAGGATGTGATTTCTGGGTGGGGTGGGGTGGAGGTCTCTGCTGCTTGGGGAGGAGACACGGCTTCTGGCTGCCACCCAGCCGCCAGGTCCTCCCACCCTGTCTGGATGGCACTGTGCCACTCACCACGCAGGCTGGCAGGCCTCCCAGGGCACCTCAGCCTGCAGGGGGGTGTCAGGACATTCTGGGCTCTCCTGACCCCATCTCACCCACCCCCAGCCTGCCCCACCCTGCCCAGGCCCTAGCCCTGTTCACTGGCTCACCGCACACTCAGGCTCGGGGCCCTAGGCTGCCCCCTAATCCCTGACCCGTTAGGACCACACCACAACCTGCGCCATCACATGATGCCTGCGCTCCTCAGCTCATGAACCCTCTATGGCTCCCACGGCTTCAAGGACGAGTTTAACCACCAAACCTGGCATGTGAGGGCCTATGGTCAGGATGTCCAAACAATCTACCAGATAGTTTTACTCCGTTGTGACCAAAATAGAAGAGAGACATGGGCTCTGGATTCGGTGTGTCCTGGGTTCAAATCCTGCGTCTGGCATCTTCTAGTTGTGGATTTTAGAGTGCTACCTTTCCCTTTCCCTGAGCCACTGTGTCCCCTTTATCAGAAAGGACCCTGCCTTCTGAAGTGGTGTGACCCGGGTGGATCTGCCCCCTAAGGCACAGCTTAGGGCAGTCCAGTTCTCAGAATGGAGACACACCTGGGGGATTGTCCCAGCCCCTCCCCGACTTCCCAGCCCCAGGGCAGCTTCAGCCCCACCTGCCCATGGCCTACCCAAAATCTGGAAGCAATCTTCTTCCCTGGCAGTGAGAGAGAGGGCCTGCCCCACCTCCGATCTCTCCGAGGGAGCAGCCTGGAATCCGATGCCACTTGAGGTGTCCCCTTGCACCTTGGCCTGGCCAGCCTGGCCTAGGACTGCCTCTCCTGCTTCCTTCTGGCCCCCTTCCAGGGTGTGCTTCCCTCCTTCTGCCACCTTGGCTGGCCCTGGCTCTGCAGGACCAGGGGTCACAGGCACCCCTTCAAAGACGAGGTCCAAGGCCCCACTTAGGGGCTTCTCAGCCAGCGGCTTCTCAGAGCTAGAAGGGGACAAAGAAGTGAGCCCCTCAGCACCCACAGCCCCAAGATGGGGAGAGATCTCATCGGGTTCAGAGACACAGCTCCAAAATTGGGGGATGTGAGTAACCCTGAAGAATGGCTCTGATCATTGCCTTGACTCTCAAATGCTAATCAATTATTAATAATTATTAGTAAGATTGTTGATATGGCTAATTATCACGTGGACACAATCAGGGAGATTGCATATCTCCTGCTTCATAAAAGCTGTGGCTTTTATGTGATGTAATGGATATTGTTGTTGTTGTTGATTGCCTTCAAGTAGAGCACAACTCATAGCGACCCTATGAACCAAAGGCTTGAAGAAGCCCCTCTAGAACTATCGACATTTATCAAAGTTCATAGAAGTTTCCAGAGGTATGTTGTTTAGGAAGTAGATGCCACTCCTGCTATTAATACATAATAAGTTGGAAAGTGTTATTAATGCAGTGTACAATAGCTCAATAATGACCTTACTAATATGACTAGTAGTAAAATGTAACTTATTGCATAATAAGAGAAGGACTAGGGAGCTCTGGTGGTCTAGTGGCCAAGAAGCTGCACTGCGATCCCAAAGGCAAGTGGTTCGAATCCACCAGATGCTCCACTGGATAAAGAAGGGCAATCTCCTCCTGTGCCAGTTGGATCTGATTCAACGGTAGCCCCCCTCCCCCCAAAAAAAAAGCCTGGGATTATCCTGTAGTCATGAGGAAGTATTGTAACAATCTATTAACGTGCTTCTCAATCATCCTTTCATAATATACTGACAATTATATTAAGAAAAGTCATCTTTGTCTCTCAGTTCTCAGCCTTGCGCCTGACTAGACCCAAGTTCATGGAATCACAGGGGCTTTGGACCCCACATACTTAGAGAAGAGAAGCTCAACCCCGTGGTCTGAGAGCCTGTTACTCTAGGCTTCTGTGAACTGCAGGAAAGTCCTGTTTTCTACCCAAGATGGGGCACAGCATGTCCAAATGATGCCCCTCTGCACAGGATGTGACAACAGTGATGTCCAGGGCAGGGCCCTTGGGGACAGAGCCTCAAGAGCTCTTCCCCACCCCCAGGCAGGGGGCACGTACCTGGAGATAATGGCAGGACAGCTGGGGCTGTGCAGGAAGGCCGGCGAGCCCCTCCTGGCCGCAGTCAGGCCCTCTGCTGCCGTCTTAGGTGCCTTGGGCTCTCCAGGCTCCTGGCTGCCTGGGGTCACCTGCTCAGAAGTGGGCTTCGGAGTACTGGCCTCAGTGGTTGCAGTCTGCTGGGGCAGGCTCGCTGCCTGCCCAGTGCTACCCTCGGCAGGCCCCTTACCCAGGCCTCCCTCTTTCTCAGGGCCCTGGCTGCTAGCCAAGGGCTGTGCCAGGGTGCCATCCCCTCTCTCTAAAGTGGGAGTTTGGGCATGTTTCTTCAGGTTGGAGGAATCAGATTCTTTTTTTGGATCTGGGGGACCAGAATTCTGCTGTGAGCCTGGGGGATCTTGCTGTTGGCATGGGGGATTCTGCTGTGGGTCTGGGAGACTAGAATCCTGCTGTGGACTTGGGGAACCAGGATCTTTCTGTGAGTCTACAGGACAGGGACCCTTCTCTGTATTTGGAGGACCAAGATCCTTCTCTGCATTCAGGGGACCAGGACTCTTCTCTGCTTTTGAGGGACCAGGATCCTTCTCTGCATTCGGGGGACCAGGACCTTTCTCTACTTTTGAGGGACCAGGATCCTTCTCTGCATTCGGGGGACCAGTATCCTTCTCTACTTTTGAGGGACCAGAATCCTTCTCTGCATTCGGGGGACCAGGACCTTTCTCTACTTTTGAGGGACCAGGATCTTTCTCTACATTGGGGGAACCAGGATCATTTCCTGCTTTTGAGGGACCAGGATCTTTCTCTGCATTTGGGGGACCAGGATCCTTCTCTGGGTCTGTGGAACCAGAATCCTCTGCAGCCTGGGACACCTCATTTGCTGCACCTGTAGATGCATTGTCTGCAAAAAAGGGGAGAAGCAGTCAGGATCCTCCCCACTCCTGCCCAACGCTCCCCAAGCCAGGCTGCACAGAGATCCAAGCCGGGCCCAGGTCCCACTCTGCCTGAGGGATCATTGAAGGGGTTCTGGGGACAAGCTGTCTGGACTTGGAAGTCCTCTGTGGGAGGCCTCCAACTCTTACGGGGTACCCTTTGTGTTCACTTCGATCCCTTGCAACCATCCCTGGAAGCCAATCTCTCCGTGGAGGGCTTTATAGAGGTCCCAGTCCCAGCCCCATCCTCCCCAGGAAATATTCTGACTTCTGGATCACCCGTGACCTGTGCGATGAGGTCCCCCATCCAGAGCTTCCACTCGGGATCCCGCCCGAGCCTGGATCAAACGTCCCATCCCAAGCTCCTCCCTCGTCTCTTGCCCCAGCTTGGCACCTGTCGATGGGCCCTGGCTTCCCAGCTCAACTGCACCGTTTTCTGTCGCCATGGGGTAAGGAGGCGTGTGCTGCTGCGTGTCTCGCTCGAGTCTTTCAAGCTGCAGAGAGAAGAGCGAGGTGTGCAGGCTGCTGGGCTCCTCCTCTTGTCCGGACTCTAGAAAGAGGAGGTCGGGGCCAGGTGGCCGTCAGGAGAGAGGTACCCAGAGCAGAGCAGGGGGACCTGGTGGCCGCCTGTCCTGCAGCAGCTGCCCAGCAGCAGTCCTGGGGCAGTTGTAAGGGACGAGGCTGGGTGGGCAGAGGCAGAGGCAGGGGCAGGGGCTCAGGCAGTGGAGGCGGGGACGCGGGAGAGGATCTCTTACCACAGGGCCATGCAGTGGCCTGCCACCACCTGTCACTCTTGGCCCCTGTTCAGAGGACACAACATTCTTCCCACAGCCCAACTGGGGGAGAGTGGTGTTGGAACAGGCAGGAGAGACAAGGGAGGGGGCCTCTGTGGGGAGCAGCCCTTTCCCCGAGCTTCCCAGAGTCCTGACTGGAGCAGGATAGGGAGGGGGCCTGAGTGAAGAAGGCAGGACTGTGCCCACTTTCTGTGCCACATCTCGTGGGGTTTCCAGAACCTGGGGAGAGCCATGCAAGCCCAAGGACAATCACCCTGACCCCAGTGCCCAGCTCTGTGCCCACCACCCTTGTCCCTGGCTTCTGGACCTACTTGGATCATCTTTGGGTAAGGAAGTGGCTCAGAGGCCCTTGATCAACATGTCCATGGGCCTGAAAGGTTTTTCTTCAGGAAAAACACCCTTTCCTGGAGCTCCTGGGAAGATGGGGGCTCCTCTGAATGACCATGAGTGACAGTTAGGGGTCCCATGGCCTTCAATAAGGTCAGCCAGGTCCCTCCAATGGAAGGAGAGGTGGGGTGGACGATCCTTCTGGAAGACCCCCCCCCACCTCTGTGGAGCCAAGCAAGGGGCATTCCATCTTGGAGGCTGGGAGCTGGGCTGGGCAAAGCTATGCTTGAAGGCTAGGCTTCCAGACGCTGTCTGCCCAGAGCTATTCTCCCAGGCAAGCTTGAGAAGCAGCCAGAGCTGAGAGCGTTAGAAATAGCTCTGGAGGGGGCGTCCCAGTTCAGGCCTACCTTTGGCAGCCCGTCTAGTGCCCCAGCTCTGTGAGCCCAGCTCCTGTGACAGCAAACGGGACAACAAGCGCTGCCCTTGGATGAGAGAAAGGAAGGGGAAATGACTCGTAGCTGTAAAAGAGATCGAGGAAGCTACTAATTAACTGACATCAAGTGTCCCCAAGGCACAGGACAGCATGCAGCCAGCAGCATTTGTGCAAAATTGGGGGAATGTACATGTGTATCTTTTTAACGTTAATATAAAGATATAAACATATATCTGTGTCCACAGAAGGATTTTTTCTCTTGAGTCTGTAAGAAACTACGAGTGTGGGGTGGGACCCAGGCATGACTGGCAGCCTTTTGCTTTTGGATTTCACATGAACTATGTGGCTGCTTTGCTAGTCAAACAGTGTTTTCAATTGTCTGGGGTTTCTGAGAGTGAATGTCTAAGGTTCTTGGCACAAGTTGGCCAAGGGCAGACCTGGAGCTCCTTGCCCAGTCTTGACCCCCTCTGCTCCACCCATCCCACTCTCTGAGTCTGTCCCTCTTCACCTCCATTCTCCCTTTCAGGGTCCAGTTGCCAGCCTGCTTCTTGCAGGAAGGAAAATTCCAGCTATGAATGATACATCCCTTGCTGTGTTCCAAGCTGTGTTCTAAATGCTGTTACATGGTCACCCATGTGACCTCCCTAACAATTCAGAGTGGAAGTTACTAGTATAGAGGGGGAAACTGAGGCACGTGGCAGCTAAGTAACTTTCCTAAAGTGCTCTGGCTTACTAGGGAGCTGAGCTGAGATCTGAACCCCTCTGGGCTCCCCTTGGCTGAGTCCCATGGTTAGCCTTATCTATAAAGTCTTAGAACATCACCTTGACAATGACTTGACTTTGTCAAGGATTTCATCCCATTTCCCGGGATAATGAGCTTTCATCCCATTTTCCAGATGAAGATGTGGAGGCTCAAAAGAGTGAGGCGGCTTGCCAAAATCACTCCATGAGGAAGGGATCAGAGCCAGAGGATGCCCCTTTCAAAGCCTTTCTTCTCTGAAAGAGCCCAGCCTGTGTTTGCTCTCTGCTTCCTGGGTCCCTCTTTGGAGATCTAAACACTGAAATGTTTCCTGCTCTCACCTGATCATGGGGCTCTTGGCCTTGCGTGGTCTCCCCGGTGCATGTTCTGAGCTAATGTGACATGGCAGCCACCCCTATCCTGGTCTTGCTTGCTGTCCCAGACCAATCCCACCACCAGGTCTCTAGGACCCCCTCAAACACAGGGACAAGCTTCTGCTCCTGAGTGTCTCCAGCAGGGTGGACCTGCCAACCAGTGTCTGAGGAGTAAAGGATGGAGAGACCAGCTAAGCCGTCAGCTGCGTGGATGGGCAGTTCTGACAATTCCTGCAGATACCTGCTTGCCATCCTCACAGTCCCTCACACCATCACTTAACCAAGGTGCCCTCCAGGGGCCAGGTCTGTCTATACCAAGAGCTTTACCCAGCTCACTGGAGCCTCAAAGGAGACTCTAGGAAACAAGTGTCCAACAATAGAAGGGGCAGAGATGAGCTCAGGGGTTAGGTGACAAGTTCTAAAAGTCAGTTGTGGTAGTGGTGTGTGCCATCAATTTGGAACCAACCCACAGCTGACCGTCCAGCGGGTTTACAGAGGCAGTAAATCTCATGAGAGGAAATTGCCCAATTTTCTCTCACAGAGCAGCTGGTGGATTTGAACCATGTGCCTTTGGGATTGAAACACAGCTTCTTATGACGAGGCCACCAGAGCTCCCTCGCACAGCCAATGGATGGCTTCAAACAATTGAGATTCAAACTCACAGCCACCTCAATGAGGCCAAAAGCCCATCAGTGGTCTTGGTACCGTTATGATCTGCAAATACCTAGTAGCATATGCTGAACGCTTAATAAAATACACCCAATGCTGGGGTCAGTTATCTTGCAATCATTCTCTGTTACAAGAACCCTCAGGGCAACCCTACCACATGGATCAGCAAAGCTGGGCGACTCTCGAACTGTAGCTGGAGAAATGCATTCCGTTTCTTCTGCATAAGAAGGGGCCTACCTCACAGCTCACAGGCATTTACAACAGTGTGAGTGTATAGCTAAGCGTCGTGTGGATGTTAGCTGTCACATTCGCATCTCACAGATGTGACAAGAAAGCTGAGTCACAGAGAAGCAGCCACAGAGTTGGGGTTGAAGCATCCACCCCCAGGGCTTTGCTCATAACCACTCAGCCATTGCCTTCCTCTCATGGGAGGGTCAGGAGCGTCATCCCATGGGCGCATCTGTGCAGAGGACCTCGCACAGTCCCTATGGCACTGATGGGGTTCACAGCGAGGGTGGACAGCCAGGAAGAGGCCTCCGCTGCCCCCACCGACTCCAGCATAGGCCCTCCTGAGGGGCAGGAGGCTGGCCTGGCTCAGTCCCTGTCCCTGGGACTTCAGCGAGCTTGCTGCTTGCCCAGTCTGAGCTCAGCTCCTGCCACCTGCTCCTGGGGAGTTCCCAGCTTCTTCATCCCTTCCTTGGAAGCACAGGGAGCTGGGCCCGGAAACAGCCCTCTCCATCCGGTTAGAGGCTTCTGATCACCCTGCAGAAGGGGCTTCCCTGCCTGGGGCCAGCTGTGCAGCACCCGCTCTGGCCCTGCAGGGGTACGGTAGGAAGTGGGGCAGTGCCAGAGCCCATTAAACCCTCCAGGGGAATTAAGGTCAGCAGGATGCAATTATGCCCGTTGGATTTAACAAGGCGCCAGAGGAGGCTTCTCCAGCCAGAGTTCACGGCTCCTTAGGCCTCCTGCCCTGGGTGGCCCTGCCTTCCAGGAGCCTGAACCCCCGGCTCTCCCAGCCCTGGGAGGATTCCTTGGGAGTGGAGGAGTTAACTCCTGGCCACCACTTCCTTGGCATCTGGGAGGAAATCAGTCAGGCCAAGAGGCTTAAAAAGGTCCCTCTTGGAAGAGACATTCCCCGGCCTGACCCTCTTCCCTGCTCAGCTGTGATGGAAAATCTGAGGGGGGTGTGCAATGACCTGTCTGACTCCAGAGAGCTGCCAGCTTCTCTCCCAACTCCCTCCCCCCGGGTTCTCAGATGGGCACTGGGGCGTCACTAGTGGGCCGCTGTCCCCCAGTCCCCAGGAAAAGCCCTGGATCAGGCAGCTGCTTTTACCAACCAGGCCCCAGCCTTTCCTCCAAGCTGGTAAGCCAGGGCTGTGGGCAACCTGCGTGGCAAGCTGGGCATCGATCTCTCTGGAAACCCAGCGGATACACGGGTCAGTGGCGGAATTGTCGGATGGCCCTGCCGTTCCCCGAGTGTTTCACTCTGTGGCGAAGATGAAACTGATCACCGGTGAAGGGGGAGGGACACAGAGGGAGAACTGAGGATCTCGACATAATTCTGTGTTGCATTTTAGGTGAAAAAGATTTTTAAAATTCATCCTTTTTTGGTTAAAAATGTTTAGACCAAAAAAAAGTTTAGACCAAAAATGTCTGTTGTTCTGTACCGTCAAGTTGGAACCGACCCATGGCTGAGCTGACCCTCCAGCAGGTTTTCAGAAACAGTTAATTGCACAGGAGAAGATTGTCCATCCTTTTCTCAGAAAGCAGTTGGTGGATTTGAACCACCAAATCTTGGTATTACAGCACAGCTTCTTGCCACTAGGCCACCTATATATAAATGGGTAGATTGTGAGTATGGAGACATTCTGTATTTGTCTGGATTTTCTTGGTTGGTTGGTTGCAATCGATCAGTGCCAACAACATAATCTGCTAAGAGATTCATAATCTGACCAAATTATTAATCTCTTACCAGATTAATAATTCAGAATGCAACACTATGGACAGAGGTCAAAAGCATCATAGGGAATCTGAGACACAGCTTGTGGACTGACCACTTGCGGTGACTCTGCAGGGCTCAGCATCACAGAGCCCACATTCAGTCAGAGGT